CCCCCCCCCCCCTCCTGCTGTACCTTAGCCTCCTCGTCGATTGCGTAGTTCTGGATGAGGACAGCCTTCTGCGCCCTGGAGGCCCTCTCCAGCGCCTGCACCACCAGCCAGCTGCACTTATTGTCTTGGATGTCGGTGCCCACCTTGTCGGTCGGCGAAAGCGTAGTTTGCGCGTTCCGAACAGCGACGTACAGTACAGCAGTAAGCAGCAAAGAAAGAAAAAAGAGACGCTTGTGGTCATTCTTTACTGCTGCTGCTGCTGCTGTTTGGCTAAGATGAAAAACAGCAAAAACGAGAACAAGCACGATCGCCGGGAGGAAGAGAGGGAGGGGGAACAGTAAAAGGACCAAGACGCCCACGGTACAGGAAAAACGACAACCCGGTCGATTCGCATCGGACCGCACCAAACGCCATCATAATTTTGGGGCATGCAACCGCATTTTGCTGCTGCTGCTGTTTTGTCTCACTTGCTGTTGTGTTTTTCCGTCCGTTCGGAAACGGCACAGGAGAACCACCTCGTCCGATCCCCTCCAGTGCAGCTCTGAGAATCGACGGTTTCATGTCCACGGAAATCACGCCACCCCTATCTCTGTACCTCAACATACTCTCCGCTGTGACCGTTCCATGAGGGCAACAACACCAGCGCGTTCTGCTTACGTGGCTTGGTCCACGGAATGGGCCTCAGGGCAGTGTGCCTTTCGACCGTGGAAAGCAGTTTCGCGAGCCTTACCGTACACCTCCCGGAGGGCGCCAAAAGAGTCGACAGGGGGTCGCCTGAACAGCGGCAGCACACCCCCAACTCATCGTCTAGCCTCTACACCACATTTAACGAAACAACAACGGAGCTGCCGCTGCCGCGCCGCTGTAAGGGCACTACTACTGCTGTCAACACCGCTTCGAAGGCACGTGCTGTAGCGACGTGCGTACGTGCGTCCCTAAAACTCGGTCCTATGTACAAAACTAACCCCGCAACAACGCGGGTATCTAGAAACACGCTTCACTCTGCGCCTACAAGGGCCGTTGCACGTTGAAGAATTGTCAGGGTACGGTCAACAACACCGCTAGTGCTGTCCAGACGTGCGTGCGTCTCCAAAGTCCGTCCTTCGCAGCACGCACGCCGCAACACCGTGGGTACATCTAGAAACGCTTCCTGCGAGAGCCGTCCTTACGGAGATGATCCCAAGCACTACACACACCTTTCCGATGACCTCGGGGTCGCCGAAGCAGTCTAGGTAGTCGTCCTGGATCTGGAAGAACTCCCCTATCCGGCAGCAGATGTCGCGGGCGAGCCGGTAGCTGGCGGGATCCTTCACGCCGGCGTAGATCATGCCGATCGCGCACGGCAGGTAGAAGGTGTAGTACGCCGTCTTATACCGGACGATCATGCGGTAGCGCACGGGGGTAAACCTGCAGAGGGGGTGGGAATGAGGCACAATCATGTTTGGCATGCCTCAGCTGTTAGACCATTGACCACGCGTCTTCGAGGGGGCGGGGGGGGGACGGGTGGCATTCTGCGTTTCGTGGGATTGTGAAAGACATATCCAGGGCAGCCACTGCCTATCACTCCCCAAGTATCCTCATGTCATCGGAATGGATCATATATCGCCCTCCCCCGCGCCACAGCACGCTGCGTCTCTTTTCTACCGAATCTCATTTGTATGTCTGACTCTCATTTTGTCTGTCGGTCTCTATCTGTCTCTCTCTGTCCCCTGTCCCTGTCTGTCCCTACCCCTTTCTCCCTGTCTGTGCGTCTCTGTCTTTGTCTGCCTGTGTGTGTCTGTCTCTGTCTCTGTCTCTCTCCCTCTCCCTCTCCCTCTCCCTCTCCCTCT